CCCCGGCTGAGCTGCATCGTCCTTCCGTCTGAGCCAGGGCTGGCGCTGTTGCACAGGCGGACCAGGTCATTTCCACTAACTACTGCTTCATGGAAACCCACCTGTGAGGATGCCCAAGTGAGGAGTCCCCCGTAGGGTCACACCTCTGGCAGCTCCTGGGTGAGGTGTCCAGGGGAGCGGCTGCTGGTGAGGGGCAGCAGGTCCCACTCCTCGGGGGGCAGGGTGAGAAGTGGCTGCCATCAGCCTTTGCTGCCCTCTGGGGCGGCCTCCCTCCCTCGCCTGGGCGCTCCTAAAGGTATTCTCAGTTGATTACCGTGTTTCTGTTTGGTGGGAAGTGTTGGAGAAGGGACTCTGCCTCTCCCCATCCCTCCGAGTTCCTTCAGAGTCCCCAGCAAGTCTGTTCTGTGCCCACAGGCTTCAGAGTTGCACAACACAAGGGCATCTGGCCAAGGACACGCTTGTCCCCTGCTTGAGCCCTGGGGATGGAGTGTGGGCGGCTGCAGGCAGGGCTGCTTTGCGGGGGATGTCTCTCAGGCTTTGTCCTGGAGAACAGGAAAGTCCCAGGGTGGCCTCCCTTGGAGACCTGCAGGGCCTCTTGCCCACCATGGCACCTGGAGGGGAGTTGTTCTCTTTAGCTCCTGTACCTGGTCTGTCTCCTGCCCCCCAAGGATCAGAGCTTCACCCTGCTCCTGTCTTCTCCATGGGAAACCTGTGCCCTGGGGTGTGCCTAGCAGTGGTCACATTCAGGGACAGGTGAATGGAGGGGGAGGGGTGCTGGGTGTTGCCCCTTGTGTGGCATCAACGAGGCACTTGGAGAAGCAGTAGTTTGCGTTTCATTTCCATCCTAGAGTTTCACTTCATTTTATTGGAAGGTAGGGGGAGACCAAAGAGGCAATAAGGAACTCACCACCCAGAAGCAGTTATCAATGACTGTTTATCAGCAGGTACGTCCAAAGGTCCTGCAATAACGTAATTAAGAGCTGGGAGCTTGGGGCCTGGTGCCATGGCTTAGCTGCTAAAGTCTTCACCTTGAAGGCACCAGGATCCCATATGGGCGCCGGTTCTAATCCTAGCAGCTCCACTTCCCATCCAGCTTCCTGCTTGTGGCCTGGGAAAGCAGTCGAGAACAGCCCAAAGCCTTGGAACTCTGCCTATTTTGAGCACTGATGGAGTGAGCCAGCAGATGGGAGATCTCTGTCTCTCTACCTCTTAAATAATTTGAGTGATTAAAACAGGGTTGGGGCCAAAGCATTGCATAACAGGCTCATGTTCCCCCTGCTAAGTCGGCATCCCAAATGAGTGCCAATTCATGTCCCAGCTGCTCCGCTTCCCATCCAGCTCCCTGCTTGTGGCCTGGGAAGGCAGTCGAGGACGGCCCAAAGCCTTGGGACCCTGCACCCGTGTGGGAGACCTGGAAGAAGCTCCTGGCTCCTGCTTTTATCAGCTCAGTTCTGGCTATTGCAACCACCTGGAGTGTCAGGGGATGGCGGTAAACGAGCAGATGGAAGATCTTCTCAATCTCTCCTTCTCCCTCTAAATGTCCCTTTTAAATAAAAATATATAAATAGATTTTTAAATAGGCTTATTATTTTTTTTTAAATTTGCTTTTGATGCAAAAAGATTTTGAAATGTTATATATTAGGGGTTCTTCTGAAAGCTCCTGGAAACTGTTATGACAAAGTGAATGGTTTTAAGGTTTTTTTTTCACCAAAGTAAGGTTATCTCTTAATTCCTTTTTCCGTAAGCTTTTGAAGTATCGTTATCAGTTTTTCAAAATACTTATTCATTGATCATCTGCTTGAGAAGAGTGTGAGAAATCTTCTAACCTCTGGTTCACTCCCCCAATGTCCTCAACCCCCAGGGTTGGGCCAGCTCGAACTTAACAGCCTGAAACTCCACCTGGGTCTCCCACTTGGGTGGCGGGAGCACAGGAATTTCAACCGTCATCTGCTATCTTCCAAGGCGTATTGGCAGGAAAGTGGACTGGAACTTGAACTCACATACAGGGTGCAAGCATCCCCAGCAGTGGCTTAACCCACTGCCCCACAACTCTCATGCCACTAGCACATCATTTTAAACTCTAAGATCTAAATATATCTTTGTATAAAATAGTATATGCACAAGGTTAAAAATACAGAAGGTGTAAAACGTGTCCGCAGGCCATTCCTCTCACTCAATCCCCTTTTTTAGTGATAAGTTCTGTTTTTCCAGAGAAATCCTACATGCTTATGCGTCCTTAACGTGTATGGTTTTTCCTTATAAATGGTCACATTTGCTAACAATGTCCCATATCTTGTGTTTTCCACTTAATAATATATTTTGGAGATTTTTGTATGCCAGTGTATATTGCAGTATTTTAAAAATTATTTTTAAATTGCATTAAAATTATAATGTAGAATTTTATATATTTCATTATAAATTATTTTACAATTATATTTCTATAATTATCCTTGTGCCCCGCCTGCGTGGTGAGTGCTGGGTCTCTGTGTCCCCGGGGTTGGAGGGTCCTGTGGGGCATCGGTGGGCCCAAGTTTGAGAACCGGTCCTCCTCAGTGTAAAGGGCGGAGTGCTGGACAGCAGACCATGGTGCACACAGAGGACATGGTAGCCCACTGGGGCCTGCAGAGGACATCTGGTACCACAGCAGAGAATGCACAACAGAACACAGGGACAACTACCCCAGCCGAACATTGACAGCGGATCTCTGGGTGAGTGGAGACTCTGAGGTCGACTGCATCAGCCAGTGGAAGGGATTCTTCATCCATTCCATCGGCAAGATTGACAGCTTCTCAGAACAATCGCATCCACCTGGCAGAACCCTCGCAGCACGTGCCTCAGTGTGACCCTGGGTTGGTATCGGGTGGACGTTCCCTATCCTCGGGCACTGGGATGGCTGGGAGGCTGGGTATGGGCTCTCCACGTATCTATCCCCTCTCCCCAGAAATGGGAAGAAGAAATAGAAAGTTTGGAAACAATGATTACACCCACTTCTCCCTCATCTTAGATCCTTCCCACCCTGACCAACTATGTAAGCATCATCTAAAATAATAAAAACAACAATACTCTACATTAATATATGGCACAGGGCCCGGCGCGGTGGCGCAGTGGTTAAGGTCCTCGCCTTGCATGCCCGGGATCCCATATGGGCGCTGGTTCTATCCCGGCAGCCCCGCTTCCCTTCCAGCTCCCTGCCTGTGGCCCAGGAAAGCAGTCGAGGACGGCCCAAAGCTTTGGGACCCTGCACCCGCATGGGAGACCCGGAAGAGGCTCCTGGCTTCAGATCGGCATAGTATCGGCCCGTTGCGCTCACTTGGGGAGTGAATCATCGGACAGAAGATCTTCCTCTCTGTCTCTCCTCTCTGTATATCCGCCTTTCCAATAAAAATAAAATAAATCTTTAAAATATATATATATATGTGGCACAAATAATCATATTCAAATCTTTATAAATTTATTTAGGAATACTTAGCTGTATCAATATGCGAATATATATTACACACAATGTGTTGTATATATTAATACATATTATAATAAATAGAATTTATACAGCTTATATGTTATAATTATATAAAATCAAGTATATAATTTTGGTAATTATTATTTCTTTTGTCATTCTTCAAATCAGACAAACCTTGATTCGCAGCGACAGCTCAGATGGCCTGAGGTGCCCTGGCCGAGTCCCTCACCCAGCACAGCACCGAAATATACATATGTAAAAAACTGAGGTGTCCCTACCCTATATAAAATTATTTTTACGGAATTTTAAAAAAGACTTTTTTTGTTGTTAAAGATTTATTTATTTATTGGAAAGTCAGATATACAGAGAAGAGGAGAGAGAGGAAGATCTTCCGTCCAATGATTCACTCCCCAAGTGAGTGCAACGGCCAATACTATGCCGATCCGAAGCCAGGAGCCAGGAACTTCTTCCGGGTCTCCCACGCGGGTGCGGGGTCCCAAGGCTTTGGGCTGTCCTCAACTGCTCTCCCGGGCCACAGGCAGGGAGCTGGAAGGGAATTGGAGCTGCCGGGATTAGAACCAGCGCCCATATGGGATCCTGATGCGTTCAAGGCGAGGACTTTAGCCACTAGGCCATGCCGCCGGGCCCATAAAAAAGACTTATTTTTTTAATTGGAAAATCAAATATATAGAGAGGAGGAGAGAGAGAAATAGCTTCCATCTGACGTTTCACTCAAGTGGCTGCAATGGCTGGAGCTGTTATAGTGGCCCGACAGACTAATCTTCCACCTGCAGCAGTGACATCCTACATGGACCGTCTCCGCTTCCCATCCAGCTCCCTGCCTGTGGCCTGGGAAAGCAGTGCAGGACGGCCCGAGGTCTTGGAACCCTGCATCCACGTGGGAGACCCAGAAGAAGCTCCTGGCTCACAATTTCCAACTGGCCCAGTTTGGGCCATTGTGGCCATTTGGAGATTGAACCAGCAGATGGCAGATCTGTAACTCTTTGAAATAAAATACATAAGCTTTATAAAAAACTGTTCTGTAATATTATATTTTATTAGAACACCCATTAATTATTGAACTAATTCTTAATTGTTGGACATATGCACAGGTTCAGTATTCTTTGACGTGTTTCCGTGTCTACCCCTTGACACGTCTCTCGTGGCAGGTGAATTCACATTACCAATGAGAGGAAGTGAAAATATTGTATGCAAGAGTGTACTATTTGGGGGCAAGCAATGTGGCACAGTGGGCTAAGCTGCCATCCATGTCCACATCTGAGCTGGAGTCTGTAGCTGCTCTATTTCCAATCCAGCTCCTAGCTGAGGGGCCTGGGAAGCAACTGACAGTGGCTCAAGTGCTTGAGTCCCTGGCATGCGTGCGGGAAAAGTTCCTGGCTCCTTGTTTAGGTCTGGCCCAGTCTTGGCTGTTGTAGCCATTTGGGGAGTGACCCAGCGGGTGGAAGATCTGTCTCTTTCATTCTCTCATGTCTGTCACACTCACACACACACACACACTTTAATCAATCAATCAACCAATCAATCAGGGTGTAGAATTTTATTAGAAACTGCCAGTGGGCTGCTGACGCTGCTCACCAGCACAGTTCAGGTTCTTTGGCCTTTGGACCCCAGGACTGAAGCCAGCAGCCCTGTGCGGGGGTGGGGTGATGTAGGGGGGGCTGTCTCTCCCCTGGACTAGCATTGCACTCCTGGTTTCTGTTGTTCTGAGACTTCCAGTCGCTGGTCTGAGCTGCCAACAGCGTCGCTGACTCTCCACCTTGGACACAGCCATCATGGAACTTTTTGGCCTCCTGTTGGGATGGCGGCAGATGGAACTAACGCCGTCTTCGCACAGGCTCTGGGCCTCTGCTTGGTACACGTGCAAATACAGTCACGGGCGCGGACAGACAACAGATCCACACAGCACCTTTGGAAACCACGTGACCATCCCACGGGCGAGGTGTTCCGAGCGTGGGTTCACATTCGTTTATGGCCACGGCCACCTGCCAGGGCTGTGTGCTGGGGTCTTGTCACACACGGTGCCCTTAGGAGGACTCTTCCCCTGCCCGGGGGGGTTTTGCTGTAGCATCCTTGGTGGTAGCTTTCCCTCTCTGCCAGGCACCTGCTGACATCTGGCCGACCCTACAGTGCCTGCAAGGCTGCCTTTTAGCAGAGGCTGCTCCGGCGGGGCCCTCCTTCGGCTAGCGGATGTCAGCCAGGTCCAGGCCGGGCCCTCTGTGGACTGGCTGGGGTTATTCGGACTCCTTGGATCTGAACGCACTCGGAGGCTTCAGAGGAAATGCAGCGTGTTGATCCTCACATAGCGGGAGAAGAGGAGGTAGAGGCGGCGGAACCACAGGAGCTGGCTGCCGTGGCAGGTCATGGCTCTCTGCAAGAGGCACAGGGAGCGCTCACGGAGCATGCGCACTGCGACTGTTCCCGGCGCTCTCCCACCTCCCCTCCGCCCCCAGGCCCCAGCCTGGAACCCATGAACCCCTCCAGCTTGATCTCCGGGGTCGCTGCCTTTCTCCCGCTGCCTGTCTCCCCTCTGATGCCAACAGGCTGGCAGGACAGGCTGCAAGCCCCACCTCAGTTGAATCCCTCTGTGAGCAGGTAGTGGAGCGAGGTCAGAAGCCAGAACCGCCTTGCTCTAGCGCCCCCCTTTGCCCATCAGGTGGTTTTACTCCACCACAAATACGACACCAGCAGGCATGTTTTACGGAGAGCAAGCTACAGCATTATGCCCACATTCCTCTGAAATAGGTGAGATGGGAAGATAAAATCACTATTACAAGAGGGATCAGGGCTTGGCGCCTTGGCCTAGAGGCTCAATCCTTGCCTTGCAAGCACCAGAATCCCATATGGGCACCGATTCATGTCCCGGCTGCTGCTACACTTCCCATCCAGTTCCCTGCTTGTGGCCTGGGAAAGAATCCAGGACAGCCCAAAGCCTCGGGACCCTGCACCCGCGTGGGCCTTGAGACCCTGCATCCGTTTTGGAGACCCAGAAGCAGCTCCTGGCTCCTGGCTTCAGATTGGTTTATCTCTGATCACTAGGACCACCTGGGGAGTGAACTGGCGGATGGAAGATATTTTTCTCTGTATCTCCTTCTCTTTGTATATTTGCCTTTCCAACAAAAAATAAATCTTTTAAAAAAAATTTTAGAAGGACAAAAAAAGCTCCAAAACTCTAGTAAAGACATGGGTTAGCCTTCTCTAGCTGGTGAGGGACATGCACGTTGTTTTAATATCTACATCTGCTACAGTTTGGTTTTTAAATGGAATCATAGTAACTGATTTAACTAGACAAAATGTAATATAAAAGTTGCTGCATATTTTTCTCTAAATACCATCTGCTCATTACCCAAGTTGTCTCATTGCAAACTTTGTATTAAAGATTTATTTATTTTATTGGAAAGTCAGATTTATAGACTGAAGGAGATACAGAGAGAAAGATCTGTCAGCTGGTTCACTCCTCAAGCAGCTGCAATTGCCAGAGCTGAGCCAATCCGAAGCCAGGAGCCAGGAGCCAGGAACTTCTGAGTCCCCCACACAGGTGTAGGGTCCCAAGGCTTTGGGCTCTCCTCGACTGCTTTCCCAGGCCACAGGCAGGGAGCTGGATGGAAGTGGAGCAGCAGGGATATGAATCAGTGCCCATATGAAATTCTGGTGGATGCAAAGCGAGGCCTTTAGCTGCTAGGCTACTGCACTGGGCCTCTTTGCGAAATTTTTAAACAAATTTATTTCAGTGAGACAGGTGCTTCTACACCACTTCCCAAGTGCCGATGACAGTCAGGGCTGGGTCAGGCTGAAGCCAGGGTCCTGGGCTCCATGTGTTTCTCCCACATGGGTGGTGTCATTGACCGCCACCCAGAATGCTTTAGCAGGAAGCTGGAATTGGAAGATTGTCTCCTGGGAGGTAGCAGATGGTGGCTCAAACGCTTGGGTCTCTGGCCCCGAGGGGACAGCTCCGGATGGAGTGCTGGGCTCCTGGGTTTGGGCCTGGGCTAGGCCTGTCTCTCGTAGCCATTTAAAGGACTAAACCAGAAGAGAAGATTTTTCTGTGTGTCACTCTACTTTTGAAATTAATAAGCAAATCTTTAAATAAATTATTGGGGGGTCAGCACTGTGGTACAGCAGGTTACTTGTCCCCTTGCCAGTGCCAGCTGCTTTGAGTCCTGGTTATTTCTGTTACAGCTTCTTGCCAGTGACTGACCCCACTGACACACGGAGACACACACATGAAGGGTGGAAGATGGGGCTGGCGAAGCGGGATTATACGCTAAGTCTCTGCCTGCGGTGCCAGTATCCCCTATGGATGCTGGTTTGTGTTCTGTCTGCTCCACTTCCCATCCAGCTCCCTGCCTGTGGCCCGGGAAAGCAGTCGAGGACGGCCCAAGGCTTTGGGACCCTGCACCCGCGTGGGAGACCCGGAAGAAGCTCCTGGCTCCCAGCTTTGGATAGACCCAGCTCTGGCTTTGCAGCCATTTGGGGGAGTGAACCAGTGAATGAAAGATCTGTCTCTTTCTCTAACTCTGCCTTTGAAATAAATAACAATAATAAATTTAAAATCTTAAAATTAAAAAAAGAAAAAACAATTCAGGACAGAGGGCGAACCCCTGCAGAAGGTCTCTTGGTTAGGGTCCGCACGGAGGTGAGAAGTGGGGGGCGTGGGGGCGTGGCTGGGTGGGGCTGGGAGTCCCCGTTCCTCACCTTCGCCTGAGCTACTTCTTCACGGGTGAGCACGAGGAGAACATCCTGGGGCCGGAGCAGCGAGCAGGGCAGGTCCAGGAAGCCCAGGTACTTGCGCAGCACATTGACGGATTCCAGCGTGAGCACGGAGCACCCTGCGGGCACGAGCCGGAAGTGTGGGCCCTGCTGCGGACAACCTGCCAGCCAGGCTGTCACCTGAGCAACAGCCACCCCACCCCTCACCTCCCCGCCGCCCCAGTGGCTCGGGGGTTGCCAAGGGCTTTCTGAGGCACCAAAGCTGCGCTCTCTGCCCCTCATTGGCACGGTCTCCGAAGGGGCTGCCGACTACCCCCTGCTCCCTACAGGCTGCAAGGTCAAGGCCTGGTCCGTCCAGAGCTGACCCGCTTGGCAAACTCCCTCTGTCACTCTCAGCTCTCAGTTTTCTCATCTGTGAAAGGGTTTGGAGGATAGGAAACCTGATTCTCTCACGTGGGGTTGGTCTAAAGACTCCAATGGACCCTGGATGTCTTGATGAGATCTCCCAGCTCGGCGAGCCCCATCAGCCCACGTGAGAAGGGCACGCGCTGCGTGCGCTTCCATCCAGTGCATGGTCGCACTGCTGCCATGGCAGGGGCGGGGCTGGCAACTGGCACGGAGAGGCGGAATATGATGCAGAGTTCCCCAACTTGGGCTGGTTGGTCCATTGGACGCCTACCTGTCATTTACAACTTGTGTAACTAATGATGGAGATGTGATGTGGGTTTGGAGGACAGTATGAAAGTGTGTGTGTGTGTGTGTGAGAGAGAGAGAGAGAGAGAGAGAGAGAGACAGACAGACAGACAGACTTAACCTGAGAGAGAGCTAGACAGGTGTGGGACAGGCACCTGCTGATGGACACAGCCTGAACACTAATAACCCGGCAGTCCTCTCCCATCTCGGAGTAGGCTTTGTCCAGTGTAGTTCTCTGCTTGCAAACCCCTCTCCAATGAGCCTTTTGGAGATGGGCGAAGAGCCTTACCTTCAGGCAACTTTCCTTTGGAGTGCAGAGCCCTGGAAGGAAGACAGGGACAGGAGTGAGAGGAGGGGCCTAGATGCAAAAGCTATCAGGCTGTGGCCCCTACCCTGTTCCCAGGGGGTCCTGGAGAAGGCTTTCCTGGATTGCATATCTCTGATTAAAGTGGAGGGGTCCAAGGTGGGCACCAGCTGTTGCCTCTCAGGGTGCACATGTGCAGCAGGGGGCCTAGGCACTCCACTGATATGGCCAGCGGGTGTCTCAAGTGGTGGCTTGACCCTCGGGGCACAGTGCTGGCCCCCTGCATTGGAGACACTGACCGTTTACGTGCCGCAGCCCTGAGTGGATCCTTCCTCCAGCTCAGTTGATGCACTTGGACAAAAGTCCACACGGCTTAGCGTGCGTCCAGAATGAGCTGGGCACGATGCTCCAGCTCTCCACATCAGCCTTGGGAGTTCAAGGCCTCAGGGTTGCCAGGTGGCTTGAAAGGCCACTCCTGGGGCTACTTCGCTTTTCATGAACTTCACCAAAAACTCTCTCTGGCTGTTAACAAGGGCCTTTGTGTGTCTTTCCTGAACCTGAAAGGACCTAATACAGCCTTTATACAGGCCTCTATCTTTGCAGGAAGGGCTGGCAGTCTGGCTGCCCCTCATTGCATCATCCAGCGTCGAAGGAGGGCTGTCTGGAAAGAGGGTACAGGCAGTCACTTCTAGCAGCTTCCACTAAGTGACAGACAACTCAAGGACATGGTCGGGGGCCCCTGGGCTGGACTGACCTCTGTGTGTACGTGGTGGAATCGTGGATGGGGAACTGGGACCCTGGGTTCTGGCAGAGCCCTTGTGGCACTGGGCAAATCACTGCACTGTCTCTGTGGGAGGTGGCAGACAGACTCAATGATTGTGAAGGTCATGTCCAATTATAGAGTTATGTCCACCTGCTTCACAGGAAGACTGCAGGAAGTGCAAAAAAAAAAAATCCAACTGAGAAGATGACAAAATATATCAGGGTGAAGGTTTGCTCACTGCCAATGGGCAAAGAAAAATAAAATCAGGGCCCGGCGGCGTGGCCTAGTGCCTAAAGTCCTCCCCTTGAACGCCACGGGAGCCCATATGGGTGCCAGTTCTAATCCCGGCAGCTCCACTTCCCATCCAGCTCCCTGCTTGTGGCCTGGGAAAGCAGTGGAGGACGGCCCAAAGCCTTGGGACCCTGCACCCCTGTGGGAGATCCGGAAGAAGTTCCTGGATCCTGGCTTCGGATCGGCATAGCATCGCACTCACTTGGGGACTGAATCTTTGGACAGAAGACCTTCCTCTACTGTCTCTCCTCCTCTCTGTATATCTGATTTTCCAATAAATAAATAAATCTTAAAAAAAAAAAAAAGAAAAAAAAGAAAAAGAAAATCAGTCACTCTTTTTGCAATATTTTTTCTTAAATGCAGTGGTGGAGGGCCCGGTGGCATGGCCTAGCAGCTAAAGTCCTCACCTTGAATGTGCTGGGATCCCATATGGGCACTGGTTCTAATCCCGGCTGCTTCACTTCCCGTCCAGCTCCCTGCTTGTGACCTGGGGAGGCAGTCGAGTACGGCCTTGGGACCCTGCATCTGCGTGGGAGACCTGGAGGAGGTTCCTGGCTCTTGGCTTTGGATCGGCACAGCCCTGGCCGTTGCAGTCATTTGGGGAGTGAATCATCGGACGGAGGATCTTCCTGTCTCTCCTCCTCTCTGTATATCTGACTTTGTAATAAAAATAAGTAAATCTTTCAAAAAGATAATAATAATAAATGCAGTGGTGGAGGTATGTAGGCGTGCAGCCTAACTGTTAAGACACCTACATCCCGCATTTGAGTTCCTGGTTCAGTACCCGGCTCCGCGCGAATCCCGGCTCCAGCCTCTTGCTAGCACAGACCCTTGGAGGTCGCAGGTGAAGGCTTGAGTGCCTGGGTCCCTGACACCACTGTGGGAGATCTGGATATAATCCCTGGTTCCCAGCTTGAGCTGAGCACTGGTTATTGTGGGCATTCTGGGGAGTGCATCAGCAGATGGGAATTATCTGTTTCTCAAAACACAGAAATCTTTTTAAAAATATCTTACTTGTTTTATTTCAAAGGCAGATTTTATAGACAGAGAGACAGAGAATAGAGAGAGGTCTTCCACCTGCTGGTTCACTCCCCAAATGGCCATAACTGCCAGAACTGAGCTGATCCGAAGCCAGGAGCTTCCTCTGGGTCTCGTACATGGGTGCAGGAGCCCAAGGCTTTGGAGCATCCCCCAATGCTTTCCCAGGACACAAGCAGGGAGCTGGATCAAAGCGGAGCAGTTGGGACATGAACCAGCACCCGTATGGGATGCTGGCGCCACAAGGCGGAGGACTGTGCCGGCCCCCATAAATACATTTTTCAAACAAACAAACAAACAAAAAAATGCATGCCTTTGAGTGGCTAGCATTCCTGCTGTCTTGAGAGAGATTAGAAATCTCTAATTAGAAACAGGGAGGACATGCGGTGGCAAGCAGTGGGTAACACGGTCATCAGTGGCTTTTGGTGATAGTTTATGGGGCCCAGGGAATCGGGGTGGGGGCAAAGCGCTTTAGAACCTGGGACCCCTCTGCCCCTCTCCATCACCCCAGGTCGCACCTCACGGCCATGTTCAGGGCAATGTGGTTTCTGTGACCACTTACACCTCCTGCGTCGAATGTCACCACCTGCAGAGAAATATAAGGTTTGCACTCAGGGTGTCTGGGACATGCTCCTCAGCTTAGCCACTGCAGCCGCTGTCTCCAGTCCCTCGGGAGGGAGAGGAGAGGAGTGGTGTGTCCACAGGACTGGTCTGTCCACCACTGGGCTGGCTGTGTGGGTACTGCCCCGCGGCGGGCTAAATTGTGCATTCATGTTCCTGGCTGGTGGATCTGAGCGGAAAATCAGCCACATTCGAATCACAGGTTCAGGATTTCCTTGTTGTGTACATGTTGGCCTGTGTATTAGCAAGTGGCATTTTCCTGGCTGGCAGTTGGGCGACCACTGGTCATGTAGACGCTGGCTGCTTGACTGGGTGCCTTTTCCTAAGGACCACATGAACGGCACAGAAGGGTCCTGGAGGGTCAGTGAGTATGTGCATACCATGCCATGCCCCGGGCACCACTGTGGTTCTACAGCCCTTAGAACTTCCAGACAGAAACCAGAGCAGTGCCCTCAGGGGCTCTTGCCCTGCATTTCCAAAGACCAGTCCAGCCAGTGCCTGGTGTGGTTCCCCACCCCATCCTCTGCTTTCCCGCCCAGCCACCTATCCCCTGGGGAGCTACCGGCTTTGAACACTCAAAGCTTCCTCAGCTCTCACTACTTTACCATCTCTCTGAACTCCCCTGGCTCCTCTGAACACCCCGAGACCCTCAGGCGCAGAAAGGCCTGGCCTGCTGAAGGACCGCCACAGCCACGCGTTCACTGCATCTACACACCTGCAGCCAGCCACCTCTGCCGAACGTATTCATCTTTAACAATGAACTCCACTTGCCTGTGGATCTGTCTGTCTCTTTTTTTAAAAAAGATTTATTTATTTATTGTAAAGTCAGATATACAGAGAGGATCATCTTCCGTCTGATGATTCACTCCCCAAGTGAGCGCAACAGCCAATGCTATGCCGATCCTAAGCCAGGAACCTCTTCTGGGTCTCCCACACGGGTGCAGGGTCCCAAAGCTTTGGGCCGTCCTCGACTGCTTTCCCAGGCCACAAGCAGGGAGCTGGATGGGAAGTGGAGCTGACGGGATTAGAACCGGCGCCCATATGAGATCCCGGGGCGTTCAAGGCGAGGACTTTAGCCGCTAGGCCACACCGCCGGGCCCTCACCTGTGGATCTCTACCCCACCTCTCCCTCTCTGTGCTCTGTCCCTCTCCTCACCCGGGGGCTCTGCATGGAGGAAGTGCCGTTGCTCCCCGTCCGCCTCTGCTCACGTGTTCACAGACACATCCATGGCCGTGGTTCCACTACAAATCCAGTGGAGGTGACAGCACTTTATCTCTGAAGATGAAAGGCAGAGTTTGAATAATAATGATGATGATGATAAGGCTAGGGTGAATGATAAAAGGGATAGAAAACAGACATCAAGGATTCAGGAGAAGGAATAGGATGGCCAGACAGGGAAAGAGGAGAGATGTGCTTCGGTAAAGAAAGGGGAGGAAGGTGACCCCATGGCACAGATGAAGAGACCTGCAGGGGGAGGCCGGAAAGGGCCGTGTTCTTGGCCTGAAACTGCAGAACATGTTGACCTGGTGCGTAGCTGAGCTCTTGGTTACAACAAGAGCAGCTTACAGTCAGCCACGGGTACAGTATGAACAGCCCCTAACACCTGGGCAAGTGCAGGAAGCACAGCTAACTACAGTCACCTGCCGTGTGTGACTGCGCACGGCCCACTTCTCCTCCCGGGGCCCGATGATGTCATCGGGGAAGGAACGTGGTGTTCCGGGCGCTCCGGCTTATCACCAGGGTCACCGGTGGGTCCCTAACTACACAGTGCGTGAACGTAGTTCACTCCATTGTGCTTGGTACTGAGCATACATGCGCACACGCGTGCACGCACGCGCACGCACACACACATACACACACACGCCTGCCTGCCCACGTGCTATGGTAACTCAGACGGCATTTCAGGATCCTGAGAGCTCTGTCACTGTGAAGCCCTATTTTCCACCACACTGACAAAGTTCACCCAACTGCTAAGTAGTAGGAGACCTCTAAGAGAATACCAGAACGCTGGAGAAAGTCTTTGAATGGTTACTGCCCCTGCGTTTCTGTCCTGACCCACACGGATGCTGTGTGTTCATCCAAGGGGGGGGGGAGGGGTGCGGAACTAGCTGTCATTATCTCTCATTGATTAATAATAAATTACTTTTTTTTTTTTTATGCTCCTTCCTCTCACTTCTGGTGTTTCAAACTGACTTTAAGTTCAGGTTGCCTGTTCGTTCGGCAGGGCCCTGAGAGGACTGATCTAGAGGCTTCCATGAGGCGGTTAAGTGTTTCTTCCAAGGGTGTGGTGCGGTCAGTCCAGATAACAGATATCTGGAGTACAAGCCGTTCTCATCTTTAATGAGAGAGCTTATGCAACACCCAGGCAATATATTATCTTTTGAAATAGTTATTTATTTATTGTAAAGGCAGAATCAAAGAGAGAGAGAGAGAAAGCAGAAGAGAGAGAGAGAGAGAGAGAGAGAGAGAGAGAACCTTCCACACCCCCTGGTTCATTCCCCAGATTCTCTGGGCCAGTCCAAAGTCAGGAACCTGGAATTTCATCGGGATCTCCCATGTGAGTAGCAAGGGCCCAAACATGCATGCCATCGTTCACTGCCTTCCCAGGCAAATGAGCAGGGACTTGGATTGGAAGCGGAACAGCTGGGACAGCACACAGCACAGGCCCAAATCATGCAGCTGTGATGAGGCTGCCTTTGGGGTCATGGCTTGGTCCGTGGTGCCTGGGCCTCTGGTGCCCTGGGCCAAGCTCACACCTTGTGGCCTAGCCAGAGAACCACACCAGAGAGGCAGAGATGGGGGGAAAACAACCACAAAATACCACGCCTGGTCGGCAGGCATTGGCTGGGCGCCAGGCATGCCGCGCCCCGGGGAGGCCTGCAGGAATCCGGCCATCGCGACACTCGGCACTCTTCACGAGTTTCATGGAGAGTTGAGAATTATTTCACAAGTCATCTCGAGATAGCTTCCGCATGGCAATGGCTTCCTGTGTAATGGCCTGGAAGCCAGGGGCGGGCAGGGTGGTTTAAGACGTCCCTTGGGGCACATACGTCCTGCTGTGTCAGAGGGCTTGGGTTCGAGTCCTGCCTCGGCTCGAGATTCCAGCTTCCTGGGGAAGTGCATCCTGGAGGCAGCGTTGGGTCCCTGCCACCTATGTGGGTGACCCGGGTTGAATTTGGTGTCCCTGACTTCAGGTGAGCCTAATGTTGGCTGCTGTGGGCATTTGCGGGAGGAGTGACCCAGGGCAGGTGGTGGGGGATTGTCTCTGCCTGCCTATCTCTCTGCCTTTCCAATAAATTCAGTTAAATAATAAATAATAACAACAGAACATGAAGCTTTCTGACAGCAGCTGCGACCGTCCCTGCTTCGTTAGCCTCACGCCATTATTGTGCTGTCCACATGGGATCAGGGTTGTGCACAGCGAGGCTTTCCATGGGCAAGTCACTTCATGCTGATTCTTACCATTGGTAGGGCGTGTTCCACCTCCCCAGAGACCTGCCCACCCTGCCAAGGTAAAACCAGGACCCCAGGGCACAACACCTTGGAAGGACTGCTGGTCTCTGACACCTTGCTATATATGAGGGCTCTGTGATTAAGACTGGTTGCTGGTCTCAGTGCAGTAGCCTAGCAGCTAAAGTCCTCACCTTGAACGCCCCGGGATCCCATATGGGCACTGGTTGATATCCCGGCAGCCCCACTTCCCATCTAGCTCCCTGCTTGTGGCCTGGGAAAGCAGTCGAGGACGGCCCAAAGCCTTGGGACCCTGCACCTGCATGGGAGACCCATAAGAAGCTCCTGGCTTTGGATCGGCGCAGCATCGGCTATTGTAACCACTTGGGGAGGGAATCAGAGGACATAGGATCTTTCTCTTTGTAGCTCTTTCTCTCCATATATCTGCCTTTCCAAAAAAAAAAATAAAAAAGAAAGGAAGAAAAAGAAACCCTTCAGTGGTGTCACGTGTGGATGCCGGCCCCAAGCCTCAGCAAGCCCACAGCAATAATACTGAACTTGCTGTATGGACAAGAGGGAAATAGATGTTTTCAGAAGTTAATTTTAACACCAAACGAGATAAAAACATTTTTGTCTAGAAGTTAACTCACATAAGTGCCCCAGTTCTGTCTACTAAAAAAGACAGACAACATAATCAGTCTATTAGCTGCAATGGTCGGAGCTGAGCCAGGAGCTTCTTCTGTGTCACTTTTCTGTGACAGCTTGTTAAAGATTTGTTTAACTGTATTTGGAAGGCAGAGTTTACAGAGTTCATAAAAACTGAAGTTGAGTCAATTCAAAGCCAGGAGCCAGGAGCTTCTTCCAGGTCTCCCACACGGGTGCAGGGGGCAAGGGCTCGGGCCATTCTCTGTTGTTTTTCTCCAGCCATCATCAGAGAGCTAGATCAGAAGCGGAGCAGCTGGTACTAGAACTGGTGTCCATGTGGGATGCCGGCACTAGGAGGCAGAGGATTAGCCTGTTGAGCCGCTGTGCTGACCCCCTCACCTGAGTAACACCTTAACCGCTGCACCCAACACTGTCCCTAGATTCTTCTTTCAAGGAGGATTATTCAAAAGTTAACCTGGGGCCCGGCGCGGTGGCGCAAGTGGTTAAAGGTCCTCGCCTTGCACGCCCGGGATCCCATATGGGCGCCAGTTCTAATCCCGGCAGCCCTGCTTCCCTTCCAGCTCCCTGCCCGTGGCCTGGGAAAGCAGTTGAGGACAGCCCAAAGCCTTGGGACCCTGCACCCGTGTGGGAGACCCGGAAGAGGCTCCTGGCTTCGGATCGGCATAGTATCGGCCGTTGCGCTCACTTGGGGAGTGAATCATCGGACGGAAGATCTTCCTTCTGTCTCTCCTCTCTGTATATCTGCCTTTCCAATTAAAAAACAATAATAAAAATAAATCTTTAAAAAAAAAAGAACAGTTAACCTGGGGCAAATTGAGTGGTCAAGACGCTGCAATCCATCTCAGGATGTCGGGATCCATCCCTGGCTTTTAGCTCTGGACTCCAGGTTCTCGCTGCTGTAGCCCCTCAGGGGCAGCTCTGATGGTTCAGGTTGCTGGCTTCCTGCCATATAGGTAAGGAGACCTGGACTGAGTTTGCCACTCCTGGCTTTTCTACTCCTCAGTTTCCCACTCTGTCTAGCCCTGGCCATCAAGGGCATTTGGGAAATGAGCCAGAAGATGATAGCGCTCTCTCTCTCTTTGCCTCTTAAAAAATAATAACAAAAAAAAGGAAGGGGGGGTGTCCGGCATGGTAGCCTTACAGTCAAAGTCTTTGCGTTGCACATGTCAGGATCCTATATGGGCATCAGTTCTAATCCCGGCAGCCCCGCTTCCCATCCAGCTCCCTGCTTGTGGCCTGGGAAAGCAGTCAAGGTCGGCCCAAAGCCTTGGGACCCTGCACCCGTGTGGGAGCCCTGGAAGAGTCTCTTGGCTCCTGATTTCAGATCAGCACAGCTCCAGCCATTGCGGCCGCTTGGAGAGTGAATCAATGGATGAAGGATTTTTCTGTCTCTTCTCTGTAAATCTGACTTTCCAATATATATTAAAAAATAATAATAAAAAAAACCACAAACAAACCAAAACCATACAAAACCGTAAACACCCCAAAACCCAAACAAGTGGGGCTTTCCACATATGTGGTGGAGATTTAAATATTAATCCACGAAGGATTATCTATTATTTATTGTGTGAAAAGTAAGCCTGTTAGGCACTTTTGAGGTTGACCCCGGGCTAAGTCCAGTCCTGCTGATCCTAGCAGATCTGAGGCGTGAACCCCCGTCCCTGCCACAGCCCTGCGACCTGGGCCTCCTTCCCCTAAAGGGGTATGCATGGATCGGTCCTTCATTTTCGAGTGGGAAATGAAAGCTTGTCATGCTGTCAGCTTTACCATTCGCCCATCTCAAGCAAGCTGCTTGGTCTCTGGAGGCCTCTGCTTCCTGGAGGTCAAATGCACATCCTTTCAATGTGAAGATGCTCAGGGCAAAGATGAAGGTTGGTACTCAGGAGTCAGGTGACTGACAGGTGGTGGAGGGGGCGGATAAAGAGGACACCGACTAGGTAGGTTTAGGAGAGCGGTCTGGGGCTCATGGCCTTTTATCTATAGAGCGGCTCTGCAGCAGGACTGGTTGGGGAGGGAGGCCGGAGGTGAGGTTACAGACCCTGATGGAGGGACCTGGGGGGGACCAGGGAGGTGTCGTTCCCTTACCAAGTTGATGTCATTCATCTCCACATGCCGGAGTAGAACGCTGGCCACAAGCTCTGTGTCCCACTGCACTGCGGGGTCATCTGGAAAATTCCTGCAAGGGAGAAATGTCACCTGATCATGGTTTATGTACACATTCACAGAGAGAAACGGGGAGACAGGGAGACAGACATCTTCCATGTGCCGGGTCAGATGCTCAGATGCCTATAACAGCCAGGACTGGGCCGCGCTGAAGCCAGCAGCCCAGAATGCCATCTGGATCTCCCACGTAGGTGGCACGGACCCAAGTGCGTGACCCATCACCTTCTGCCTTCCAGGGTGCACATGAGGAAGAAGATGGAATTGGGAACAGAAAGGGGACCCGAACTCAGCTACTGCAAGATGGGATATGGATGGCCCAAGGGGTGGTTTAAACTGCTGCGACACACACCTGCCGCTGGACACACCCTTGGCTCCAGGAGATGAGTGATGACAGGGAGAGCTGGGGGGTCCTGCCCTTTAGATATGCAGATTCAGTGAAAAAAAAGGATGAGATTTATTAAGACAAGCAACTAGAAATCAGTGGATGATCCACATACACAGCTGTAGGGGTTCTGAGCCACGGGCCAAGGAGAAGCCAGCAGGCGTCAATGACCCACAGCCATCCACGAGTCGGGTGGAACCTGGGCACATACAGCAGGACAGGCCCTGGCACAGGAACAACAGTGCCAGGGCCTTGCCGCCTCGCACAGAGGTAAGCGGCTTGTTTGAGAGGCTGCTGGACTCGGACTGGAGCCCTGGTTTCCAGCTGCGAAGGGGACAGGAGCAGGTGGCATTCCCATGACCACATTTCAGGAATAGAGGTCCGTCTGTCAGAGCATCTGCAGCTCAACCAGCCTCTCCCTGGCCACATCTAGCTTTGCAAAGATCTTTTGGGTCTCTTCTTTGTTCTTTTTTTCGTATCTGGGGCTGTGATGTCACTTGGCAGGAGACAAGACCCCCATCTGGTCATTTGGGAAACATCCATCTTCTAAGCAGAGCCTCATCCTTCCCTGGCCTGGGCCAATGCTGGGCTAAGGCTGCTTGCGAAGGGAAGGCCTCCCTGCTCCTGGCCAAGCAGGTTTCGCTACCTGTCCCGCCTCCCTGCAGACAAAAAATGCCAATCAGGGACCCATTGGGACTTTGGGTAAATTAAAGTGCCATTTTGCTTTGCTTCCTCAGCCACCTGCTCTGGGCCCTCAGGCTGTTTTCTGTACAGGGAAGCTTTGAACTTTCTTTCTTTTTAAAGATTTATTTACTTTTACTGGAAAGGTAGATTTACAGAGAAAAGGAGGGATGGACAGAGAAAGATCTTGCATCCACTGTTTTCTTCCCAGATTGCTGCAAGAACCACAGCTGAGCTCATCTGAAGCCTGGAGCCAGGAATTTCATTTGGGTGTCCCATATGGGCGCAGGTGCCCAAGGACTTGGGCCACTGCTTTCCCAGGCCATAGGCAGGGAACTGGATGAGAAGTGGAGCAGCAGGGACAACTGGTACCCATATGGGATGCTGGCACCACAGGGTGGAGGATAAGCCTGTTGAGTTACCGTGTTGGTCCCTGTTTTGTAGCTATAATGAAGTATTGCATTCTAACAACATTTTACATATACACAAATAAGACCCTCCTCCTTCCCCCAATAGAAGTACATTATCCAAAGTTTGATTTTGCCATCTGGGGAGTGCAAATAAAAAATATTTGGAGATCGCTGTTCTAATCTGGCTCACTCCGTATTTTACTCAAATTTTCCTGGATTTTAAAAATACTACTTGACTAAGGCAAAATTTCCATAATCTAAAACGCATCCATTTTAAACATACAACTTAGCAATTTTTAGCAAATGTTCAGAATGTGCATCTTATTTTTACTGGTGTTTTGCATAGATTTGATTCTTGATTCTGCATTCTAGCAGACTAATGCTACATTAGTCATTTATCAGTCAGGGCCCAGCTAGGAAGATGGAACCAAGAGGAATCTTACACAGGGACTTGGTTAACCTGCTGGATGGGAGGGGTGAAGGGTCAGGCAGAGAACAATAAAACAACTCAGAGAGTGACAGCAGCAGCAGGAAGCCCCCACAGGCCTCAAGGATGGGACATTGGAGCCACGGACCAGGGTGACAGTGGGGAACAGAGTGGCAGGATCCAGAGTCACCTATGAAGGAGGAAGGGGGATGGCCCTGCCTGTCTCTCTTGTACCTCTAGTCCTCCATCGTTACCACCTATCTGTCCAACTATCCGGAAGGCAACTGGTAAGGGACTCTGGAGACTGTAGTTCCCATCAGTCAAAGACAGCCACATAGGATACAGGCAATGTCTCGCTTACTGCCAATGCTCAAAGGACTACTTACATGTCTGCTCTTTCTGGGTCCAAAAGCTGCAAAAGGCACAGTGGTATGGCCACCTGCTTCTTTCTAAGATCTATAGGAACGGGCCTGGCATGATAACGTAGTGTCTAAAGTCCTCACCTTGCACGCGCTGGGATCCTATATGGGCGCAGGTTTTAATCCCAAGGACCTCACTTCCCATCCAGCTCCCTGCTTGTGGCCTGGGGAGGCAGTCGAGGACGGCCCAAAGCCTTAGGACCCTGCACCCATGTGGGAGACCTGGAGGAAGTTTCTGGCTCCTGGCTTAGGATCGGCTCAGCTCCAGCCATTGCGAACACTTGGGAAGTGAATCATCAGATGGAAAATCTTCTTCTCTGTCTCTCCTCCTCTCTGTGTATCTGATTTTCCAATAAAAATAGATAAATAAAAAAAAAGAAGAATAAAAAAGAAGAAGATCTATGGGAACAAGGTGACCAGCCAGATCCAGGACCATGTAGAGCGACGCAGGGTGAAGCCTGGTGGCAGTAGTGGGCCACTCCAAGGCAAGCATGCTTCAGGCTCAGGCAGGGGTTAACAGCCAGCTCTCCCCCAGGGTTACAGACACAGAGTGCACATGGGGTCATCAGGACGCGGTGTGATGTGGCAGACAGAACGCCCAAGTTCTAGCTCCCCTGTTCGCCACGTGAACACAGGCATGAGCTGTGTCATCAACAAGGCTGGGAGAGCTCCAGCTCGTACCTTGATGACCTTGGCTTGGCTGACCCTTCTGGCTCTGCAATCTAGGACTTTCTGTTTAAGCAATTGCTTTTTCTCCCCTCTTCCCAGCTTCGGTGAGGTAGAACTGGCAAACAAAAAAATTGTAGATGGGGCAGTACTGGGCAGGTGTAAAGCTGTTGCCTGTAATACTGCCATCCCATTTGGGTGCCTGTCGATGTCCCGGTAGCTCCACTTCCCAGCCAGCCCGCTGCTGTGGCCTGGGAAAGCAGGGGAGGATGGCCCCAGGGTTTTGCTCCCTGCCACTCACTTAATGAGACCTGGCTGAGGCTCCTGTTGCTGGCTTTAGCCTGAGCCAGGCCTGGCTGTTGCAGCCAGCTGGGGACAGAACCAGTAGAGAGAAGGTTTCTGTCTCTCCATTTCTCTAACCATGATTTTCAAATAAATAAATAAAACTTGGTAAATTTTGAATCTACTGTACATTAACTATAGTTACCATACGGTACATTTAAAAATTACTTATAAGTGAAAATCCAAATCTTTGAAATGAACGATGAATCCTCCTCAATTCCTCCCCTCTCTCCACCCTGGGCCATCTCCTCTTTACTCTGCTTCTGCTTTAGACTTTACACATGAGTGAGAACATGTAGTGTGTAAATTCCTACGTCTGGCTTAGCTCACTCAGCCTAAGTCTTTGAGGTTCATTTACGATAATATGATAGTATGGATGATACAGGAAGAAGAGAGAGAAAGGAAAAGAGTGAGGGAAGAAGAGAGAGAGATCAGGGTGAAGCCAGGAACCAAGAACTGCATCCAGGTCTCCCATGTGGGTTCAGGGTCCCAAGACCTTGAGTCATCCTCCACTGCTCTTGAGGTCAGAAGCAGGGAGCAGTACCACAAGTGGAGCAGCCAGGACTCGAACCAGTGTTCGAACGGGATGCCAGTGCTGCAGGTAGGGGTTTACCTTACTGTACCAACATGCTGGACTCTCGTTATTTTCTAAAATTTCATTCTGTTTGAAAGGCAGACAGATAAGGAAGAGAGACCAGGAGAGACAGACAGACAAGACAAATATCTTCCATCTGTTGGCCTACTGCCCAGATACCAGTACCAGCTGGCGCCTGGGTCAGGCCAAAGCCTGGAATTCAATCTGGGCTTCCCACTTGGGTGGTGGGGATCTGAACACGAGAGCCGTCACCTGCTGCTTCCTGGGCTGTAACTTAGCAGGAAGATGGAGTTGGAAGCCGAGACGCAAACTGAGGCACTTTGATATGGTGCCTTAACTGCTGAGCTAAACACCCACGCCTAAGCTTCCAATATTTATAAATGATCTATTTATATTTAAGTATTTTCTTGTTACTGTGCACCCTGCACTTAGAATAGAACCTGGTCCATGATAGGCATTTGCTATATACTATTTCCTTCTTACTATTTTTATGTTTTTTTCACTGTTTCCTTCTGGTAAGTCAAGAGTAAGAGAGATTATTATTTATTATATATTTATTATTCGAAATAATATTGATCTTTTTAAAAAAAGACTTATTTATTTTTACTGGAAAGGAGGCAGATCAGATTTAGGGACAGTAGGGACAGAAGGAGAGACTAAGAGGAAGCTCTCCCATCCACTGGGTCACTCCCCAAATGGCCGCAGTGGCCACATCCACAACCCAACCTGAAGCCAGGAGCTTTTTCCAGGTCTCCCACGCAGGTGCAGGGTCCCAAGGCTTTGAGCCATCTTCTAGTGCTTTCCCAGGCCACAAGCAGGGAGCCGGATGAGAAGTGGAACAGTCAGGACATGAACAGGTGCCCATATGAGATCCCAGCACTTTGAAGGTAAGAAATTAGCCACTGAGCCATCATGCCAGGCCCTATTCATTGATTTTGAGGCTAGTGTTGCTAAGCGGCTCCTGATTTGTGAGTGTAAATAGCATATATTCGTTCCCAAACTCCCTGTGTTATCTAACTCTCGGTCTGACTGATAGCAGTCTAGCACAGCCAGTATTTCCAGAAGCAGGGAGAACAGAACCTTGTACAGGA